TTAAGAGAAATTTGAGCAAAAAAATGCATATAATATGTTTTCTCCAAAAACAATGCATTTCCTGACGCGTGTAGAGCAGCAAGCCGGAAATATAGACATAAGGTGAGTGCCAACAAGCTTACATCATCGAGCTTGTTTGATACTGGTGCAGCTCGTAACTCGTAAGCGGAGAGATAACTCGTAACCAACGTCATTCATGCCTATAAAACACTATTTTCTTCAAAGTAATTTTTCTTAATTTGTATGATGAGTTTTAGGGTATGTACGAGCCAAGACTACGTACGTTGGAGAAAACAATTAATACCATGGCAATCTGATGAATGACACAGATAATGTAGAGAGAGGTTGAAGCATCTTCCGACGCGTGTAAAGCTGAAAGTAGTGGCGGAACCAGAACTGTCATTCATCATCTGTTTAGGGTTTCGTCTGAAAACGATATAGACGATGTAACTCGACAAAGTATTTTGGATAATATTACTAAAAAGAAGGGTGAAGTACGTTTTGGATCGCGATTGGTATTTCCCGATTGTAGAGAAGAGAGCAGAGGGACAATGAGCTTTGTATGCGATGAAGCTGTCTTGCGGTTCGATTCGAGCTCACAGACGATGACTACGTTTTAGAACCCAACCTGCCTCTGTCATAATCCTAGTTCCTTCTCTGAAAAAATTATGGTGATACTATGGTATCTATTTACTCTTGAAAAATAGTCGTTAAAATATTTATTTTATGAGTTTGTACTATGTAGGATAAAGACCATAGAGGTTGCAATTTTTACTATAACTTGATAATCTATATTTTGAAGCTTAATAAATTGTTGAAATTATGTAAACTCCAATAAAATCTATAGAAATTTTTCATTCATTGTCATTCTTCTAAGCGCTTTTATAATTAAGTTTATTTGGATGCATTGATGTTATCTTGTTTTACGGATTATATATGCAAAATGAACCATTTAAACATAAACAAGTAACTACATATATCATGCGTTTGGAATTGGAATTTTAGTTTCACACAATAATTTATTCTTTGGAATTTTAAATTTGATGTGATAAATTTTAAACAAAAACTAATGCATCCCTTGCCGTACTCACTCACGACGGCGTCCTCCCTTACAAAAATCACCGAAAATAAAATCTTATTATATAACCAACGTTGATTATATCATTTATTATTTCTTTTGATATAATTTTTTGTGTGGCAAATTTAGCAATGTTTATCCACGTTAGAGCATGTACATTGGGGTGCTCTCAAGTGTGTTCTTAAAATATAAAATTATTAAAATTTGAGTAAAATGAAGAAAGAGAGTGTTTTTGTGGGGTGTATTGAATATAAAATTAATAAAATTTGAGTAAAGAGAGAAGATAGTGGGTGTGTTTAAATATAAAATTAATAAAAGTTGAGTAAAAGGAAAAGAGAGTGTTCTTAAAGTAGTACTTTTAGATAGTGTTCTCAAAATGAAGTGAGAATGTTTAAATATAAAATTAATAAAAGTTGAGTAAAAGGATGAAAGAGAAGGTATAAAATTGAGTAAAAAGAAGAGAGAATGTGTGTTTTAATAATTTAATATTTGAAAAACACACTTGAGAGCACCCCAATGGACATGTTCTTATGAAAACTTTGTTGTGAATTTGTGATTGGATTGTTTGATGGTTTTAATATGCGCTTCAAAATGGGTCCAACTCTAGGCCCATTTTAGTTCCGGTCACATGCTTAGCACATGGTCCTTCTCACTCATTTGAGCAACTGAGAAAGAAAAAAATTCACTTTAGCTTTTATACTTTATAAAAAGATATTACACCAAGAGGTACAGTATTTTTGTTGCAACGTATAATACTTCTTCCTTGTTTTAGCACATGACTTTCCGAAAATACCCCTCTCATCACTTGAAGCTCATAATTTAGTTAGCTTCTTTAAATCTGGACCCTTCATTTTCATTTATCAGTTTACATATATCAATGGTTAGGATTTTTATCAGTTGCACAACAAAAGAGTCGGTACAAAATCTACTCACTCTCTCTCTCGATCTCGAGCTTTTCATCTTTTAACATAATCAAACAACAGCTTTTCGATTTGGTTTTGTTTTACAAAGACTCAGAAG